GAGCTGTTAAGCGAGAAATTAGAAAATTTCATTCCGCTAATCAGGTTTCTACACATTTCAAGTGGTGATTTCTACAAGAAAGTTAAACCTTTTGCTAGAATATTGCCAATTGAATTGTACGAAGATCTTCTACAGTATTATCTTGTGCCAAATCATCAACCTTCTTTAGAATTGATGCAACCAAAAAGAAGTAATTTTAATTCTGTAATAATAGAAAGAAAACAAGTTGCTATGATAGCAAGTTGGATAGATAAAAAAGATTTAGTCAATAAATATAATAATAAGAAACGTGTTAATATCAATAACAATCCTAATTATCAATCATCATTTTATGAACCTTGGGAAAACCCATATGAATTTAAGTTGTTGTTAAGAGGCTCAAGAGATGGATTCACCGGATTGGATTTTCATTCCAAATGTGATTCCAAGGGTGCCACTATCACTATAATGAAAGTGAATGGATCAAGCGAATTGTATGGTGGATATACGCCTATTGATTGGTTGTCACAAAATACTTGGGGCTACTGTAAAGAAAGTTTTATATTTTGTTTAGATGACAAGGATCTCGATAAATCCATCATCAGTAGAGTCAAGGATCCATCAAGAGCCATCAACTATTATAATAATTATGGTCCGTCATTTGGAACCGGTGATTTAAAAATGACAGGAAATTTCAAAAACGAGTCAAGGTGTTGTTGTCAACATGGTGATTACGAACTTCCAATTAGAGCCAATTCTGATGATATCCATTTTTCTGTTGACGAATACGAAGTTTTTCAAATCATTCCCAGGAGAAGAAGAAAAAGAAACATGGATTAGTTAATTAGAATAAATCATTGTTGTAATCATTGGTAAATAATGGATTAATTAATGGTTATATGATGATGATAATAATAGCATTATTAATTGTAATATATCAATTTTATTTTATAGATTTCTTATAATTAATATAATTAATACAATAATATAATAGTAGTAATATAATAGTAATAATATAATAGTAGTAATATAATAGTACTAATATAACACAATAATATAGATATAATAGCAATATTTGATTTGATTCCACATAGACAATAAACAATTCAATTTCAAAATCAAAATCTTTTCAATTGTCATATTTTCCCAAAAATTTACTTAATAAAATTTTTTTGACATTAAAATGACAGCTTATTACTATTGTGATGATGTTGTAAAGACCAAAGATTCATTATATCAATATTACCTTATAACGCAATATTACCTTTTATATTTCTTGAATAGCTTGTCTTTTTTTTAATATAAAGTTCTATTTTATGAATTATTTTACATGATGACTGAAAAATACGCACAGTAACACACATAATAAAATAATTCAGTTCTGATAAAAATCAAACAAAATTTCTTCTGTGGTGTCATAATAGACGAATAATTTGTAAAGTTATAACTACTAGATACATGTGTGTATATATATATATATATATATCGTTATTTTCGTATATATTAATCCTAATTCATTTCAGAAAATATAAAATTATTTTTTTTTGCAAAAATACAGTCTTGGATTTTACATTATATTTTTTTTTCTTTTGATTTTTATTTTTGTAAAAAAAAGATTTAAATATAAAACCATTTAATCGCAATATATATAATATAACATAATAATAATATAACACTATACGATTGATTACTCATGATATTAATAATAATACTAATAATAATAATAATAATAATAATAATAATAATAAACCTATTTAGTAACCACCTGACCCAGGAGCATTTTCATCTCTCTTTAAACTTAAAAGTAATTCCTTGAATCTGGATACATCTTTAACATGTTTACTTCCACTCTTACTTTGTGCAGTTGAAAGATCAACTTGTTTACAAATACGTCCCCAAGCAGTTCCTGAAGTAATGTCATCTCTTTCTTTAAAAAATTGCTCCTCATTTTTTCTAATTAATCAATCAATTAACAAAAAAAAATTTTTTATAAATGTTAATATTATATAATTGCTAATATTATATCAAATGGTATCAATAATATTACTAATAATAATAATAATCATAACGACAAAATAAGTTCTTCTTACTTATTTTCTTCATGCGAACGGGCTTTTTTTTCATTATATTCATCATAAAATTTATCAATATCTTCACGTGCTTTATTAATAGTTTCTTGTTTTTTTTCTTCAGATTCTTCATCACGCCTAGCGATAACTTCTCTTTGTTCCTCTCTCCAATGTCTTTCGATAATTAAATGAATGCAACGCAATTAGTAATTATCATAAGATTTAATTTTAAATCACTTTTTGAAGAGTAGTGAAAATAAATGAATAGATATTTACTTGATAAATTCTGTTTCTTCTTCTTCAAATGATGAACCACCATTAATAATCTATAAATAAAAACATCATTATTTTAATTATCCTGATATTGCTTTTAATTATTTATTTATTTATACACACTTACATTGTTATTAAGATCGCTATTTTCCAATGGTGGAAATTCATCATTAAAAGCCGAGTAATCAATAGCACTGGTTGAATTAGTTGTGTTGTATACATTACTACTACCATTACTACTGCTGCTGCTAATACTAATAATATTATTATTACTAATGATATTACTATTGTTTGTTGAAAAATCATCGAACTCGTCATTAGTAACCGATGTTGGAGTTATTGAGGTTATGCCATTGTTATTATTATTATTATTATTAGAAAACAAAGCCGCATCTTCACCTAAAATTGCTTGTTCTCTTGCTAAAAAATCGGCTGCTGGATCTAATAAATCTACTGACGCCGAATTTGATGTCAATGTTGACGATGAAAGGGTTGAAGATATTTCTGGAAAATCTGTCATATTTCTATTTTTCTCCTCTCTCTTGTATTATATAATTTAGAATTATTCTATTATTAATTGTGATGATTTGAACAAAAAAATTAAATTATTAAAATTCTAAAAAAAAAAATCTTACATTTTGAATTTGCGTTAAAAAAAAGTAAAATAAAAAAGTTATTTTTTTGATGTTTCACAAAAAAATTGCGGCGTTGTTATACATATACTGAGGCCAATTATAAAAGAATCAACTATTTCATGATGTTAATACAATTAATTTATTATCCATTTATTTGTTTGTTGTTTTGATAATAGTATTATAAAATTTATTTTTTAAAAAATTAAACTATGAGTCTTTATTTTCTGTTGTTTCATTATATGATTTTATTGGAACAACACCTAACATTGTAACAGGTATATTAAGTATTTGTGGAAGTAATGATGCAGCAGTTTTACGTGATTGTTGAATCATTAGTGCACTAAATGAAGATATTTGAAAATAATTTATATTAAATATAAATAAATATAAATATAAAATTAATTCATATTTTTTCATAACTTACTCCATAACAACTAAAGCAAGCCACTGCCTCAACAATTGGGACAGCACGTGGTACAACACAAGGATCATGATGGCCTCTTGCAACAAGAATTCTATCAACACCATCATATGTAGCAGTTTTTTATTCTTGAGAAATGGTTGCTGATGGTTTAATTGCAACTCTAAAATAAATATTTTCACCGTTTGTGATTGATTCTCCCTATTATCATTAACATTTTTTAATCTGGGCGGTAACAAACATCAAATTATTCTAATCATAATCTTTAAATCTTTTGAATGATAATGAAAAAGTTATTTACTTGAATTCCACCAGAATGGTTAGTTTTAGTTCCAAATACATTATTATCTTTTTAATCCAAAGATCATTATGTTGATGACCATACAAAGTTGTACCTTGGAAGCCACTTCCAATCTCAAATCCTTTGGTAGAGGGATTGAAAACATTGCATGTGCTAATTTAGCTTCTAACTTATCAAAACATGGTTCACCCAATCCTGATGGTACATTACGAATAACACATGTTACAGTTCCACCAACAGAATCATTAGATTTTTTTGCTTTAATTATACACTAAAATAAATAAATTTTTTTGAATTTACTATATTATAAAATTGTAGAGTTTATAAAGCATAAATATTTATTAAATTTTATTTTTAAACCTGAGTCATTCTTACTGAAATTTCCTTATCAGGACATTGAACTATATTTTTACCAACACCATCTCTAGAAATGCTGTTTAACATATCCAAAAATCTTGTGAATATAATTGATCATCATTATTATGATAGCCTATTTCTTTGATAAAAGGCATTTTATATTTGAGACTGAAGAAACAAATGCTACAATATCTATTTTATAAACCATTTTAAGATATTTCTCTGCAATAGCTCCTGCTGCCACTCTTCCTAATCAACCAGTTAATTATTAAACTTATTAAATTGATTTTTATCAATTTATCTATTTGTTATGTCTTTTTACCTATTGTTTCTCTTGCTGATGCTCTACCATCACCACTACTAGCTTTTACACCATATTTTTGTAAATAGGTCCAATCGGCATGACTTGGTATTGGATATAAATCAGTTTCTGAATAATTGCAGTCAACTTTTTGGCTAGTGTGCCAGCAGTCTTCTCTGGTCTGGTGCTGTGAAGATAGTGAAAGCATCCTTGACGATTGATGCAGTCATGATAAACTCCAGAACCGTGCACCCCCCTGGGAATCCTGCAATATCATTGTATCTCAGGGCAATCTTGTCAGATTAACCTTTATACATGAGGAATTCGTGAGAATGACTGTAAGTGTTCAAGGTAGCATGAACGCTTCAATGTCTCTAAAATTTCTTATAATCAAGCATTGCATATTGAAATGTTTCTTCTGCAACAGTCAGTTGTGCTGCCTTGACATCTTGTAATTATAATAACAATAATATTATTAATGATTACGCAAAGCAAAATATCAATCGTTCATTTATCATCATCAAGAATCTTATAATTATCCAGCAAGATCTGCTCCACGTTTTGGATTCCAATTAAAATATTTATAAATTAAAAGACACCACATTATATATATCAAGGCAAATAAACAAAAGTATCTCTGGTTAGTTATTAACACGTCTTCTTTAGGAGACTCACGTTTTGTCATTGAAAAATTGTTTTCCAAAAAAAAAAATCAAAAAAAAGTATGTACAACACCAAGTGCCAATAATAATTTTTTAATTATTTTACATTTTGTTTACGTGTTTTTTTTAAAAAAAATAAAAAAAAAAAACAGAAAAAGATCGAGATGAGTATTTTGGGTAAGTGTTTATCAAAACTAATTAATTTTTTGATCTGCATATCACTTGCAGAATTTCCGAAATTTACGTAAAGAACATTGTTTTCAAAACACTACTCCTCCTCCGTTTTCAAAGATATAGGCATTAAATTTCCATGAAAGGTAGTATATAAATTATACTTTAGAGCTATGGAAAGATTTAATGGATTAAAAATACCAGTGGCGTAAAAAACTCATTCGAAATACAGAAAATTTCTTTCTTTATCGTAATAGTAATACTTCTATCTATTGCAACTTCCGAAAAAATTGTATGAAATAAAGATTCTCTCTCCATAGCACTGTTCTACAAATGTAGCCTGATCAAAAACCTCTAATAATTTTATAAATGTAACGATTTTCCAGAAGCCTTAGCGATTGAAAGTTCATAATATGGTTGGCTCGGTCTAAAGACCTCCTATTGCTACGCCACACGCTCAAATTTCAAAAATTGCGATTTCATGATTCGTTCAAAAATGCAATAAAAACTTTTCAAAAAGGCTTCACGTGATTTTGGTTAAAAAATTTATTTTCCTTCCTGCCAAATTTAGACATGATTGTCGAGTATTAGTCTAAATTTAGTAACGATGAACTAAAACTAGTCTAAATTTAGCAATGATCCTAGCGCTCAAATTCTTCATGAGCATAGTAAAGTACATGTTTTAAAAAAGAATAGAACTCTACAACAAATAATTTTTTTGATAAAATCTCTTTATTACATTAAAATTAAAGACCTATTCCATCAACTAATAGAGCTATTTTTTTAAAAGGTAGGGCAGAAAATGACTTTTATACTTTTAAAATTTGCACAAAATTTAGGAGGTCTTTAGACCGAGCCAACTATATTCTTTTTGCCTCCAAGTAGTTCAGGTGCAATATATGATATAATTCCATAGATTTTATTTGATGATTTTTTATCAACTGGCCCACATAATCTTAAATCTGTGATATAACAATTATCTCATTCCATAAGTACATTACCACTATGTAAATCACAATGAATTAAATCTTTTTCATGTATACGATCTAATGATACACATAAATATCTAAGGATCATAATTCTATTTTTTAATGTTAATTTTGAATGATTTTTTTGCAAATAATCTCTTAAATTTCCTTCTGGCATATGATTAAGAACCATTGCATAATTTCCATTATCTGGGAATTTAGTAATACCATAACAAGGAACAACCATAGGTGATTTAATTTTACAATAATTAATTACCTGAAAATAAATATAAAATCAATTAATACTATATAATATAGTATTATTTATTTTCCTACAAATAAAATAAAATCAATTGCCTCATCAAAAAATGTTTTTGTTGGATTACTTGAATTATTTAAACATTTTAATACTACATAAAAAGCTCCAAAATAACAAAATTCCTTTTTATTTTCATCATAATCAATTATATTTCCTCTTGTCCATGTAGCTTTATAAATTGAACTAAATCCACCTTCAGTTAATTTTGTAACATCTTTAAATTGATCAAAAGGTATCCATTCTAAAATATAGGTTGGCAAAGATGAGAGCATTTGACATTGTTGAATAAAATCATCAACCAAGTTATTATCAGATGTCCAAGTGTCAAAAAGGCTCTGTAATTGTAAACTGATACAACCTTCACAGAATCTATCAGAGTATTTTATTGATTTACACTTGTTACATTTTTTTGGTTTGCCCCATTTATTTCTTGCATTATCTAATTCAAAATCATAGATCAGTCTTTCTCTGCAATATTCTTTTTCATTTTCAGAAAGCTCCTTATTTTTTTTGACCAATGAAAAAAAATAATCTTTATGACTTTCTCTATTATGTGTATTTGCCAAAGCACACTATACATTCCTATACAAATTTCAAGTACAAAATCCCTTCTTTCTGATGATAATAATTTATTAAATGACATTTTTAACTTTGCTTAATATTTTTTAAAAAAATTTTTATTTTATTTTGGAAAATATTTCCTTTTTCCATCTATCAATAATGGAGTGTAACAAACAATAATAAAAAGTTTTGAATTCATCCACACCTCATGGTAACAACAATAATAACTTTTGTTTATTGGTGTCAATTTAAATTTGATGCAATTTCATCATCTAATATTCTAATTTACAATATGTGCCAAAATGATACTTTTTGTTTTATATTAAATTTTCGGCTGTATGAATTCCTTTCAGCAAATCCCAAATCACTCTAACAAATGGTCTTTTTGATGGACAATGCTTGTGAATAATCATTAGGTATTTCAGGTAATATTAGTAGTTGTAAACCTCCTCATATATCTTAAATTAAATGAGCTTTATCATCAAATGGTGCAAAAATTAACTGTAAACATCTGTTCCTTTTGTATTATTTTTGCCACAAAGTAGTTCAAGTGAAATATATGATGCAATTCCATAGATTTTATTTTGATCAACGGTAATAATATATTACCACTATGTAAATCACAATGGATTAAGTTTTTATTATATAAATAAATAAATAAATTTTAATAAGATTATTTGAATTTCAATATTGCTTTTTGTGTTCAATAATAAACAAGTTCTCTTTTATTTTCATTGTAATCAGAAATGATGTCTCTTGTCCACATGGCAGTATAAATTGAACTAAATCTGCTTTCTGTTAACTTTTTTATATTTTGAAATTGATCATAAGGTATCCATCTATCCATCTTATAATTTGATCCAAAAGAGATGAAAATTTTTGGCATTGTTGAATAAAATATCAACTATAGTATTTCTAGAAGTCAATGTGTTAAAAATGCAGACTGATACAACATTCACAAAATCTAAACTCTTTAAAAAATCCTTATTTTTTCTAATTTCTCCATTAGACAGCCATTGTTACATTATCATATGTTCCATTATAAAATTTATCTTCTCTGTCTGGAATTAATAAGCTATTGAATGACATTTTAAGCTTTATTTTTAATAAACTAAAAATATATCGGCTCTTTAATGCCCCAATTTTATAATATATGGGCAGACCAGACAAAATGTCACAAAGGAATCCTAGAATATTTTTAAGTATGTGGACTTTGCATAGGGATACAGATAAAGATAATTCTAAATCGTATAAACTGTTTTTACTAATGAAAGGCTTCCTTGTAAGAATCATCATTATCAGACCACATCATTAAATTTTTATTTAACTCGTTTATAGAACAAATCTAGGGCTAGATTGCTTAAAACTTCTATTATAGACTGATATGCTCTTCCAAGTATTCAGTGAGCTTGATTAACCCTCCTATCAAGTATTTAAAAAAATACAACACCCATTCCAAGCATTCAATGGCTATTTTTTGTGCTTACTGCAAAGAAGAATCTTCTGTACTGTTTGTAAACCATACCATATGTAATTTTTTATTGTTGTAGAGACAAGTGTGACACTATGGCAACCGCCATTGCAGAAGCACTGATCACATTACACACGTAAACAAGTATGATGAAAATGTGGTGAAAATTATAGTAGATGGGTTTACCGCAGTGTTGTCCACGGATGTTGTCTGCCTTATATTAAACGGACAATGTCAAGACAAAGTCCGTCAAAAATTTCAAATTCCGCGTAACAACTTGTCATGCGTATACACATTTTTTTAAAATGTCCAGAACCTTCATAAGCTACAGATTAATTTGCTTTAATGTTGGTTTTACTATTACTATAATATAATCCATGATCATTTTAAGGGAAGTCACGCCCATAACCTCCCACTATTTCTAAAATAATGTACAGAAAGAGACCAAGAAAAAAAAAATTCACAAAGATTCCACATAGTGAAAGCATTGGGAATGACAACCGTTTTTACAATAATTTCCATAAAATTTGGCAAAAACGATTGTCATGCCCGATGCTTTTACTATGTAGAATCTTTGTGGATTTATTTTCCTACGCCAGTGTAAGTCTATTTTTTTTTGTTTACTTTTGATTTT